ATGTGCAGGATTTACTGTTCTCAACCAAGAGAGTCCCAGTTTGTTGGCTTACCATGGTTCCATAGCAGCCGTGTTATTCTGTTGCTGGAGGAAAAGGAAAAAACGATCCCCTCCTGTGTGCTGCTGCTGTGGGCAATGCAGGGCTCGGTGGGGAGCATCGTGTGAGCAGGTGCAGGACAGAGGGACAGAACAGAACAAGGGAAAGCAAGAAGCTATTAGCGCATTAAGCCTACTATGTGCAGGGCCCGTTCCAAACCCACAGACAGTGAGCACAGACGCATATTATAGATCAGGGGTAACCTACAGCAGACAGGGCAAAAGCAGTCTCAGCACCCTAGGCTCCTTGCGCAGGAGTAAAAGAAGCACTGCTCTTCCTAACACTGCATTACGGAATATATCTGCTGTGAAAAACCCACGCAAAGGCATTTTGCTGGGCATTCCCTGCCCTCCTTGCTAACTCTGCAACTCCAGAACCTGGACAGGCAGCTTGCTGACTGCTGTATTTGGGTGGGAGGGGTCAGACACGGTCTGAATGTCACTGGGAGGCAGCAAGAGGCAAGTCATTACTTGCTGCAGCAATGCCACACTGCAGACAAAATCCACATGCACTCAACCCAGGAAGATGAGAAACACAGCACCACTGCTGACCTTCTGCCATCCCCCCCGCCATGACAGTTACTCCTGTTTGGGAACACACTGGGCCACCCAGATGGGAGGTCTGCACAGAGAGAATGTCTCTAATGTCCTGAAGAAAGTCTAAGATTTACCGTCTTCCCCTGTGACAACGGCAGTGTCTCGAACAGGAGCCTCAGCCTGCCCGCAGGTGCCTACCCACTACAGAGGGAAGCTGGGAAAGACCCTCACAGACCTGCCTATACTTGCAATGTGTGGTCCTCTCTTCCCCCTCAAGGCAGGCAGGCCCCAGGGCTCCACACTTCCTCCATGGAAGCCAGGGTGCTGCAGAGAAGCTGGAAGCACTTGGTTCCTTGCCTGGGTTACTGCCCTGCCCACTTCACAGCCACAGCAGCTACTTCAGCTTGTGGTGGAGCTCCAGCCAGGTGAGTTTGCATGCTCATCTCAGGGTGTTCCTCCCCAGAGGCACTAAAAATTCATTGAAAATTCCCTGAAAATTCATTCATGCCACCACCTGGCCAGACAGCTCCAGAAGAGGCCCTTCAGCACAGAGTTTTTATTAAAGAAGTTTGGGCAAGGTGATACCTTAGAGACTAACTGGTTAGACAAGAAAATCTGGTAGTTCCTTACACTAAATGCTCAGCTCCACCAGAAACTTGTCCCACACATGGCTGCTAATGTACATGCAGGTAGATGGTGCTGTATAGAAGACAGGCGAGGTAGTGGCTCTCCCCTATAGGCTCCGGGTCTGAGAAAAGGAAGCTCACCAAGCTGTAGGAGGGCAAGGGAAGCAGCTGCATTGCTCACAAGTGCTCCCTAGTGGATGCTTTAGTGCAACATCTCTCCAGGATGCTACAGAAAGCTGTCCACCCACTCGGCCAAGTGGCTGTGGGTTGTGTTGTGGACACCACATCTGGACAGGGAAGCTCAGAAGAAAATGCTGCAGACAGTCCTGAGATTACCACACTTATTCTACAAAAAAAAAAAAAAAAAAAAAACGCTTTCACAATGCCTCTGCCTGAGGCTGCACTGGGAAAACAGTCCATGTTCGGAGTCCCGAGTCACTCCTTGCTCTGTGCCCTGGCCCTGAGCACTCTGCCTCCATGCCAGCAGTGTGCAGAGTATCCCCATCAAACACCTCCCCTACCCTCATCTGAGTCCTTAACACTTTGCCCGGGAGGGACCCTCGTAGCAGTTGGTCATTGGCCACTGTTGTTTTTACATATGTCAGGTTAGGGTGTTATGCCTTGTGGTCGTGTCAGGGTTGACTGTGTAGTTTTACTAATATGTTAGACAATGGGTTTGTATAGGATGGTTTGGATAGGGGTGATTCTGTCACTGGGGAGATGAAGTGGGGGGGGGTGGACTACATGCCCTCTGAAGGTCCCTTCCAGCCCTACTTTTCTATGATTTCATGGCCCCTTTCAGTCATTCCTCCCACTTGCAAGCTGCAGTCGACTCTAACGCTGGTGCTAACACTCTACATGGAAAGGCTTTGTGTTTTGCTCCAAACCTGGCCCTCAGCCCATGTGCCACCCTCAGCCAGGGCTCTTACTGTCTGGGATAAAAGCTTCTGCTGATCTCTGCTCACGGGCAATTTCCACCTCCCATATGCCATAGCAGTGCCAGCACCGGGCCACTAGAAGCATAAACACCCACCCTCTCAGCTTCAGCTAGATCATAGTTCATAAACTTGCTCGCCACTCACAAATGCTGCCTCTCATCCCACCCAAGCTCCTCCATAGTAACAACAGAAATTGTTATTATCTTTTCAGGAGACCTGGCATCTGGGACCATAAAGCATTTTACACTCACTCAATAACAATATCTCAGAGAGCTGAAGAAGAGATAAGAAGAGAATTTCTGTACCCACTACTGAAAGGCCCTACCTCTGGGCTGGAATGCATCAACATCTGAACCTCTCCAAGGAGGCTTGGCACCCACGTTCCCCAAGGATGGCAGTTTGTGGCCCTTTAAGTAAATCCTATTCAAGCACCTTTCCAGCGTGGAACATGGTTCCCCAGCTCCCTTGTTGGACTCTGACCCCTTGCAATCCCCAAATACATCAATGTGCCCCTTCTGTCACCCTCCATGTGCTGATCCCATGTGCTCTTGGATAAGATCCTCTAATACATGCATGCACGCACACAAGTGCACATAGTGGCACTGCCGTTTTTTCCTTTTATCATGGAAACCTCACTGGTCACATCTCTGCAAAGTGCTCTTGTTTTACTCTACTCTACATATGCTCTGAGAGCATTCTCCCCCCTAAGAAGTTGGCCTTGTAGTTAAGAGTACTAGGCTGGGATTCAAGAGACCTAGGTTCAAGTCCTAGCTCCGCAGCACACTCCCTAGGTGACTTAGGGCGTAAAAAGATGATACTCCTTCGTTTGTCTTCCTAGAGGATGAGGCACAAACCACCCGTACTGCATCAAGCACAGTGCTCTCCATTGGCCCAGCAGGAGCTATAGTCATGCCAATAATAGCACACCTGAGTGACTGGATTCAGTTCTTCACCAAATTCGTCAAGTGCTCAGGTACACAAAATGGGGCCAAAGCAGCCCCAAATACGACCAAATGGGGATAAACTCAGCACAATGAAAACAGACACAACTCCTCTTGGTTCCAGTGGAGTGGATCGATTTGGCCCATAGCCTACAACAGAGCTGATATTAACAGCATATTGGTCATTAGCCAGTAATCACAATAGAGGTGACAAGGCTTAGGGGAGGGGTTAAGAGAAAATGTCTCCTCTCTTACTGACACCATCTGGACACAAGGCAAGCTCTCCCCCTCTGCCAAGTGTCGCAGACACGAGGTGTGTCTGCTGGTGCCGGGCAGGTTGCAAAGGCCTTGTATTGCTGAGCACTGTGCCGTGACCAGACAGAGCACCTCTGCTCCCAGGTGCTACGGAGCTCAGCACAGCCTCCCTGCCCCCAGTGCTTGGTCTACGGGAGTGCCGTGTAATACAGTTCCACATTAAATCAGAGTAAGAGGGGGATCGATCGCTGCTGACAGAAATATTTAACAAACCAAAGGCAACAGCCTGGAGCACTGCCAATGAAACCAAATCCAGAGACAAGAGGGGTGTACATGTCTGTGCGCGCACATGAGGGATGGGAGACACAGCATCTTCTGTGAGGAAAGACCCGAGTGCTGCTTGCTTTCTCTCTTGAAGCGCTGCAAGGGTTAAGCGCTGCCATCCACGATACTCACACATGTACCGAACCTGCTGTACAAAGCCATTCTGTAGCACACCTGTTTGTGGAGAGTCTGCTGCCTCTTGCTGCTGTCAGACACTTAGCAGTGCTACATCCTCTCTGAGCAAAGCGCGCTTATTTAACTCCACAAATGTAGTACAACAATGTCTCCGCTGACCACACATTGGCAGAAGCACATTAATTACCCTTCTGCAGGGTAAATCTTGTGCATTCGTATCGTGCACGCACGCATCCACATACACGGTGTACAGGGGATTGGCAGAATTGTAATTAATAATGCTCTAGTGCTTGCATACGAACAGGCAAAACTGGGGTGTTACACAGTACCGAAATCTTCCTGTCCAAACCCCAAGCCAAGATCATTGTGGCACACTTGATTCCAGCTTTACTGGCCAATAGCCCTGAAACCATCCAAGAGGCGAGTCAGTCACTTCTCAAGTGATAAAGTAGACATGTATCCCTCCCTACCACTCCTCCCAAACCCCCTTGTTCTCAGTGATGCATTCACTCCTTGACTGAAAATTCAATTCAAGAACAAAGATTGAGAAGAGAACCTTATCACCACCCCACAAAATCCAGGCATGGGGGAAGGCAGGCAGGCAGAGGCCCGTCTTGGGTGCCATTTAGCCAAACTGTGTTCGAATTAGCACTGAAACGCAAAGGAGAGTCGGGAAGGTGCACAAAACCCCCGCTCTGCTCCCGCTGCCAAATGTCCTTCCCAGCTGGCAGGTGCAGGGACACTCCAAACCCAGCAGCAGCCAGGGCCAGGTGAGGAAGCCAGCCCGCCCTAGCTCCTGGGAAGGGGGAGGGCGAGCAGGTGAACAGGAGCTGATGCAGACAAGTTAGCCCTGCAAGGACCTGCCTTTTGGCACATCCAGTGCAACAGGAGCCCTGTCTCTCTGCAACCCCCCCACCCCTCAGCCTGCAGCCGAAGAAGCCAGCGAAACTTGCCTCTCCCCAGATGCCCAGCCCCAGAGAAGTGCTCTCTGCCCGGTTGTGGGGTACCAGGCATGGAGACGAGCTCCCCTCTCCCTAGCACAGACGCGGACGGGCCGAGGAAACTTGCAGCGAGCGCAGGCTGGGGCAGGGGGCGGGGGGCCTGGGCAGGGGACCTGGGCAGGGGACAGGGACGGGGCGCTACGGTACCTTCCACCCGGCCGAGCTGTTGCTGTCTCCCTTATCCTTAAAGTAGGGCACGTATCGGACCATCCAGTCGTAGATCTGCGAGAGGGTGAGGCGCTTCTCCGGGGAGCTCTCGATCGCTTTGGTGATCAGATCCGCGTAGGACAGGTTGCCCCAGGCGTTCCTCCGGGAAGTCTTCGCCTTGCGGAGCTGTCCAGCGTCCGCGCCCAGGGCAGGCAGCGCCGGGCCGGCTTTGCGCTCGGCCAGGGCGCCCGCGTTCTCCGCGCCCTCGCCCGCTCCTCCCCCGGCCGCCAGGGCTTTGGGGCCGCCGCCGCCGCCGCCGGCCGCCGCGCCTCCATCCCCCTCTTCG